TATATTTAAAGTTAAAGAATGTTTTAATTCTGAAATAGTTATTGATGGAAATATTTTTTGACGACGAAGGATACTAATTTTCCGTTGGGAGATATTATGCTATTTTTTATTTTATTAGTCAATTCTAAGTTATTTTTAGAAAGAATTTTTCCCTGTCGTCAAAAATCGGAACACTATTTACAATTTTAGCTATTTCTAATTTAACCTTTTTTGTAGGATGTACTTTCAATTCTTTTGTGTTCATATTATCAATAAATTTTGACATTTTTTGTAAATATGAGTCTTTTGTAATAATGGTGATCGTGTTGTCTTTATCAGCTTTGCACAAAATTAAGTCTTTACATTTTAGTTTCTTTTTAATGGATTGTAAATTTATGAATTCTGATCGGCATTTTTTGTTAATTTGGTAGGTTTTTTACGAAGTTGTTTTTAATAGTTTTACCCACTATTTTGCCGCTTTCTAAAGCTGCGTCAGATTCGACAGCATTTTTGTTCAGTTGAAATTTCGGTATGTATTTGAGTCCTTTTTTTTCGATTTCTAGTTGTGTGAAATTTGTTGTTATGAGGTTCATGTTCCGTGGATAAAATTGCTGGGTTTGTGATTTGTTTTTGTTATAGTGAACGTTTTTAGTGTTTGTTGCTATAAAGGCTTCTAATTTTTTCTTTTGGGCGATGTAGTACTTATGGACTATTTCACTCTTCTCTCATTTCTTCTGTCACTGAAACGGTAAAGGTTGCAAATTCCAAGGAGTGTAGTTTTTGTACTAACTATGTGACGAAAAGATATTCACTTATTTTATTTCGTAGACTAAACCACTTTTTAATTTCTTTCTTCAGCCATGCCACTCTAGAGAAGTTAACACTATTTGTTGCTTGTGCACAGGTATTTGTGCAAGCTATATGAATGAATTTAGGAAGTACTTTCTTTCTTAGGCACGACGTGGTAAACCGCAAAGGATTGTTGATAGTGCGAAACTTAAAGTAGTTCCTTCTGTATAAAACGGCTAAATTATAGCTGCTCAAGTTTTTTAAAAAATAAAAGATATCTTCCGTTAGCTCTTGGTGAACCATCATGAATAAATAACACACTTGGAAGTTGGTTTGCGATAAAACAGGGTAAAATATGACAAAAAGTAGGCAACTTTAAGCATCGATATCTCGGCGAATTTTCATCGTACAAAAAAGAATAAATAATGAAAAGGTGTGTTTTCAAGGATTATATTTTCCCTTGACATTTTTATACAGCTAAATTGCCCAAGAAAAAGGTTATAGGCGATTAAAGAAAAAGAAAGAAACGGCGATTTTTTTGAAATTTCCTATTTTCCGATGGTAAATTCAATTTTATAAAAACAAGTACTATAGTAAAACCTTGCTTCATTTTTGAATTATTTGGAGAAAACTAAAAGGAATGTCTTTTTTTAAATTACTCAATAACGCACCCCTTAAAAAAGGAGCACTTTGTGGTTTTATCATCTTTACAGGGCAAACTATCATATTCAATCATAAAATACCTTTAACACAATTGTTCCATACTAAAGTCTCTATTCAATAATCTATTATAGACACTATAAAAATTAAAATAAAAGCTTGCTATCTTACAAAGTAAACTTTTACATGAAAAGTTGGATAAAGTAAAACATATATTTGCAAGTATCGATTGTTAATAGAGTACTTAAGCTCTATTACCGTATATCTACTCTTAAAAAGCTGGTGCTTATCGATCAGTTAGATATGTTAAATTGTTGGCTAGCAACCAGTTTTCCATTGGTGGAATAAGCTTATACTTTATAAAGAATGCAACATCAAGTTCCTACACCGGAAGCGTTAATGGTTAAAAAAGCGTTAGTAAGATTTTTACGGGTGAATAACTGAAATTGTGTAAACATTAAGAGAAATTTGCTTTTTCTTTTTAGTTACTAATGTTGAAGAATATAAAAAACTAAGGTTATGGGAAGCACACAGCTGAAGTTAAAATAAGGTTACCTTGGGTTAGTTTAAATCGATTATGCGTTTAATCCGTTACACTAAGAAATAATATTGTAACACCACAAATTTTAGTGAATATCTAAAACTTAAATCATCATAAAACGCACTTTTTATTTTAATTTTCATCTTCTCAATAATAATTAGCGATAACCAATTTTGATTCCTGCTTCATGGATAGTTACTGCTGTCTTATAATTTTTTATGCTATAAATAAAATCCATTTACTATCTTCAGTTCGAATCTTGTCATTTTACCTCTTGCATAAATTCCAGAAATTCTTTTCTATTCAGCTATAAAAATTGTTAACGAAATGAAGAATCTAAGAATAGAAACATAAAAACCAGTAGTTGAAATATTAAGGAAACCGAAGTTGATAATGGAATTAATTTAGATAAAAAATTTAAATAAAATTTAATTATTCATTAAAATGAAATTTTAGGAAATGATCGAAAGATATTAAATTGAGAAAATGTTTCGTTTGTTTTGCATTGACATTCTATTAGCCAATATTTAAGTACCTACTTGTTGTATTGAATTTTCTTTCTAAAACAGTATTGTATCTTATAAGAAATTTTAGTTACATGATTCAATATTAGTTTGATGTTGGGCGATTAATGTTATTGTTTGTATATAGAGCAAAGACGCGACGGTGGCTGAGTCGAAAGACGCGCGCACAATTCGCGCATTTAGCCATATTTAGACGAGGCGTCGCGGCGTCCCCACGCTCGCCGCGTTATACATACATGGATCTCTTGATCTATTTCTGTCACGTTTCCCGCTAACCTATATAACCGACCGCCAATTCGTTGGTAGTCTCACTCGCAGCCTAGTACTTGTCGGCAGCAGAGTCTTGCCAAATTTCCTGTGTCTTTTCGTGTCGATACCTAAACTAACGAACACACCTCAATCACAATGTGTGACGACGATGTTGCTGCTCTTGTCGTGGACAATGGATCCGGTATGTGCAAAGCTGGATTCGCTGGAGATGACGCCCCAAGGGCTGTCTTCCCCTCGATTGTCGGTCGCCCCAGGCATCAGGGAGTCATGGTCGGTATGGGACAAAAGGACTCATACGTAGGCGACGAAGCCCAGAGCAAGAGAGGTATCCTCACCCTGAAATACCCCATCGAACACGGTATCATCACCAACTGGGACGACATGGAAAAAATCTGGCATCACACCTTCTACAATGAGCTGCGTGTCGCCCCCGAAGAACACCCCGTCCTTTTGACCGAAGCTCCCCTCAACCCTAAGGCTAACCGCGAGAAGATGACTCAAATCATGTTCGAAACCTTCAACACCCCAGCCATGTACGTCGCTATTCAAGCTGTACTTTCTCTGTATGCCTCTGGTCGTACCACCGGTATCGTCTTAGATTCTGGAGACGGTGTTTCTCACACTGTACCCATCTATGAAGGTTACGCTTTACCCCATGCCATCCTCCGTTTGGACTTGGCCGGTCGTGACTTGACCGACTACCTCATGAAGATCTTGACCGAAAGAGGCTACTCATTCACAACCACCGCTGAAAGAGAAATTGTTAGGGACATCAAGGAAAAACTTTGCTATGTTGCTTTGGACTTCGAACAAGAAATGGCCACAGCCGCTGCCTCCACCTCTCTGGAGAAGAGCTACGAATTGCCTGATGGACAGGTCATCACTGTTGGAAACGAAAGGTTCCGTTGCCCAGAAGCCCTCTTCCAACCTTCCTTCTTGGGTATGGAATCTTGCGGTATCCACGAAACCGTCTACAACTCCATCATGAAGTGCGACGTTGACATCCGTAAGGACTTGTACGCCAACACTGTACTTTCCGGAGGTACCACCATGTATCCTGGTAAGTAATGACATTTAATTCAATCGTTTTTGTCTCTTTTCGTTTAAATGTCGTCATTCATAGTAGTTATAAGTAATTTTAATTGTTGATATTTTTTAACAATCTTTTCGTTATTTCAGGTATCGCTGACCGTATGCAAAAGGAAATCACCGCTCTTGCTCCGTCCACCATCAAGATCAAGATTATCGCACCCCCAGAAAGGAAATACTCCGTATGGATCGGTGGATCTATCTTGGCTTCTCTTTCCACCTTCCAGCAAATGTGGATCTCCAAACAGGAATACGACGAATCCGGCCCTGGCATCGTTCACCGCAAATGTTTCTAAACACCTCTCTATCTTTCTGTATCCATCGCATTGCATATATACATACACACTTATGTCTCTTATATTTATTGTTAATATTATCACTGTCATCGTTTTTTGACGCCTAATAACGATGTGTAAATACTACTTATATATATTTATGCCCTACACAGATATATCTCAGTGCGAAAACAGACTGTCGAGTAATATACTATTGTAAGCGACGTATTTAGGCCGTCTAATTATTATACATAAATATTTTTTATATTTAATTATTGTAATTTAACGAGCGAGTAAATATATAATTTTTTTGTTAAACAATTTATTTGTTGTTTTCAGGTGTTTTTCTTTCCCCCAATGATTTGATCAGTATTTCTTATTATTCTATTAATAAATGCAATGAATTTCGGCGAAAATATAAATAGAACCCTTTCATTGAACACATTACATAACCGAAATATTCATATTTTCTACCTATTTTTAAAATCATGGTACTTAGTCATAAACACTCTCTAACTGCATAACTAGAAATGGAGTATAAAAGGGCATTCTATGTTTATCATCTGGGTGTAGTGAGTTCAATTTGTTTCTTTTTATTAATGCAGCATGACGACTTTACATGTTTAAACGTGTGCTTGTATATGTGTGTTCGGTTTTTACTCGATTTTGTGTTCGTTACCGAATTAGGGTTCGATTTCCGAAAGTTTGGCTTGAAAACGGATGTGACGTTGCTATTTATAAACGGCGCTATTTCCAACCGATTCATGGCGTAGCAGTGCATGTTTCTTTGATCTTGTTATTACAAGTTTTTTTAAGATTATGACTCAAGCGGGTTGATAATTCTTTGCATAACGAAAGAAAGTTATTTCAACTATTTTTGTGTAGGTTCAGCCATGAATTTTTCAGGACCACATAATCTACAAACTACCTTAACGATTTATTTATGAATTAAGTAGGTATTTCAATATATTTACGGGTGGGATGTGATGATTCAAGTTTAATGAGAACTGCATTAACACTTTTACGAAATATTCAACCAATCGTAGTCTTTAAACCTGTAATAGATCTATTGTTTCCTTAAAGGGTTTTGATATATATGCTGATGGTGATATTGTTGAACTTAGGGACTAAAACAGAGAATACGTTTCCTTATTTGAAAATAAGTTTTATTTAAACCGTTTTCTACATATGAAATTACAAAAAACAGAAGGAAAATTGTTTTCAAGAAGTCTATTAGAAGTACACACCAGCATCGATGATATTAAAGAAGTACCTAACTATTATATTAATTTATTTGCAGTTAAACATGGAACAGTAAATTCAATTAATATTTAGATATTTTTATGGTGAGTAATTGTAGAAAGTTGGTTAGCTAAAGTAACAAATCGATTTTTGAATTTACATTTTATTTATTTATAAAAAGAAACGTTTTTGAAATCCTTCATTTATTTTTGTCTTGTAGTATTATTACTTGTTGACAATTTTAAATTCGTATACTTGACTGATTAAGTAAATAGTTACATACCCACGTTAAGAATTTTCTCAAAATCTGAAAATAATTCTTAGGTATGAAAAGTTTTAATTTATTATCGTGTTTTTTTGTAAATAGGAAAAAGAAACTTATATTAATCGATTAAGTTGCATCGTTTATGTATGTACCACGTGGATATTTGTATGAATTTTCTCCGTCACGGGCCCAGTATTGTATCGAATTAATGGTGTGCGCATCAAATGGGATCTTTAAATATCTTCTCCCAGATTCGAAAAGACGGGCCGTGGACTATTTATAATACACAGCACGTTTTCCTAACCATATAAGGCTATGTTAGTGAACCGCACCAATTTCCGATTTATTGATAAGAAAAAATTAATATAACAATAAAAGTTCTTAATTCTTCGCTTAAGAAAGGCATCACGTTAACTGTAGTTCACAATTGGTTCTAAAAGAACAAATGTATGTATTCCTTAACTACACTTTAGGTCATAATAGGATCAACAAAGATTTTACCAAAACGAGAAAGTAGTTTTTATAAAACAATAACTGTAAGCGTGTAAGAAATTCTTCATTTTGTTTTGTACATTCTATTGATCGTTCTTCCGCTATTTTGTATTCAAATTTTTTTAATCAAAGTAATACTGGGGTTAAAATTATTTTATTTAAAAAACCACAGGCAATGTTTCGTAGAGGTTTTTGAGCTTTTCAAGGTTAGTTTTTTTAAGTTAAAAACTGTAATAATGATGGATTCTGGTTAAGTGGTACATGCTCTATGATCAACAATCATTAACAAAAATGATTAAAATGTTGTGTAGATAAAACTGTAAAAGCTAACTAACATAACATTGTTTTAAAAGCGTTCTACATGGTGACAGTTAATTTTGTTAATGGTTGTTGATCTTTGAACATGTACTACTTAACCAGAATGCATCAATATTACAGTTTTTAACTTAAAAAACTAGCATTGTAAAAGCCCAACGAAATGTTGGCTATGGTTTTTTAAATTAAATAATTTTAACCCCAGTATTTCTTTGATTAAAAAAGATTTGTAAAAATAGATACATACATATCCGGAGTACATAGTATATTAAAATTCTTATTGAATATGTCCAAAATCAGGCACTAGTAAGCAACAATCAAATATGTTACATCGACAATTAAAAATGACGAAATCATAAAGTAGTACTAAATATTGAGATGCGTTCTTGAGATCCAATCGAAAAAGCTTATTTTTTAGTTTTAAAAATTATGCACTTTAGGAGAATACTTTTTGTACGAAATTAAATTTCAAAACGGAATAAATTGTTAACAATTTATTTTGCCACTTTTGCTATTTAAAATGCTTACAATAAGAAGATGAAATTTTGAGGAAGCTTTTCTTTTTTCAGTAATTACTCCATAACTTCTTTTTGTGGCGTTTTAGATATACATAACGCTTAACGCTTGGTAGAAAAGAAAGCACATGAAAAACCAGAAATTGTACTATTCTTCTTAGCTCTGTAAATTATTTTGGAATTTTCATTTTATAGAACGAAGATAATCGAAAAATGACAAAATAAGTACAGTAAAAGCACTTTATTCGCGGGGTATACGTTCCATAAATATGCCGCGAATAGAGAAACCGTGAATATGGAATGGTAATTAGTATGGAAGCAAAAGGGGTACGNAAACCAATATGTATCAAAATAAAATCAATGTATTGATAAATTCGCAATTAAAATTAATCGTTATAATCAGGTTTAGGCAAGAGTTTAAAAAATTTAGTGATTTTTTCTTGTTTTCAATTTTGAAATTAGTCCACTCGGTTACATCTTTTATAAAAGTTGCCCCGACACGAGCCAACACTACTTAAAACATGCCGATACGTTGAAAAATAATACCAAATCCTTTTCTGTTTACTCGGTTACATCTTTTATAAAAGCTGCCTCGGCACGTACCAACTGTATATACTCAAAAGATGCAGATACATTAAGGGAATTCAATAGTACACGCGCCCTAGAGTAAAAATATGCTTATCGATTCTAGATATCATGAGTTTAATGTTTGGAACAGAGGATTGAAATTTTGTAGTAAGACAGATAAGGTTTTATTCTAAAGCTTGCCGAAGGCCATTTTTTGATTTTTTAATTTCTATTGAAAATACGTGTCCTACAAGAACCATCAACTTTAAGCACTTGTAAAAGCTTTTAATGATCATATTATTGAAAACCAAAAACCTACCGAGTTAGTGTAAACCTTTGTCTGTTACCATACAAAAAATCACATATTTATCTCGCAGTGTTAAATCACAATGTTTAGAATAGGAACCATGTTTTCGAAAAAATGCACACTAGGCACGAGCGGTCTATTACGGTCAATCCTCTTAATAAATGACACCGAATCCTTTTCTGTTTACCGATTGCATCCGCGAATAATGAAACGGGAAAAAGGAAACCGTGAATAAGGAACTTTTACTGTATTTAAAAGCAAATATGGGTCAATACGACAAAAATAGGTTTACCTTAAATGATGATATCTTGGTAACCGCTAGTCGTACAGAACTAAAAAAATGCAAAATTTGTGGTTTTCATGAACTTTCTTTTCTATTCAGCTTTAGGTAAACCGTGAAATATTCATACCTATATTGTAAGTATTTTGATAGTAAAAACAGTAAAAAGCTTTTTCAAGAAGGTACTCCGATGGAAAATTTAATTTTCTATAAGTGTTCTTGCAAAAAACTCCTAAGGTGCATAATATGTGAGTTATCGCGAAGAAAACTAAAAATGGACTTTTTTAATTGAACATCAAGAGCGCATCCTCATTTTTGGTAGTACTTTGTGATTTTATTATTTTTTGGTACCGAACTAACATATTTTACAATAAAAATCCACAGAAGCAATTGTTCTTTACTAAAACTCCTCTTCAATGGTCTATTAATCTAATGCGGACTATAGTGTATTTAAGTATTGAATTAGGAATTCTTTTTGTTATTCATAAGCATATATTTATTATATTCTTTTTCTTTCCCTTAATTTGGATACGTGTAAATTGTAAAACAATGACACACTTCGTCGACCCCCTCCTACCCTTTAACGTGTGACGTAATTTATGGATGGTCCCTATATGAGCTCTTTATATTTACAAAATTTAGTTCAATTTAATGGACTACCGTTTCCAAAAATAAACAGCAGTGAAATANAACATTTTCTTTTCCGCCGCCCCACTGTTCATGTTTCGCAGCCGTACAACGCCGCGCTCCAAACATACACCTTTAACAACCTTTTTCGAATTTCTAAATTAACTGTTCGCGATCATAGAAGTGACTTCTTTTTATTAAAGGCGTCACGACCCTGCGCTATCCTCCGCTTTATATCCCTACTACTTCTTCAGTATGACTTATTTGACGTTCTAGATATCTAAAATCAGCCACTTTTTCTAATTTTTCGTCTCCTATCTTTATATTCGCACTTTCCCTGCTTTGCATACCAGTATTTTAGTTTTACTTTTATTTATTTTCATACAGTATTGATGTGTCAGTACCGCTTCCATTTTATTTAAGGCTATCTCTAGGTCCTCCTTGCTAGATGCTAATACTGCTATACAGGCGGGGATACTAACCACTACACTATTTGCTATTCGTTACTTCAATAACTACAAAGAATAATATAATTTATCTTTTTTGCGATATCATTATATTTATTTTGCCAAGGCAAATAAATCGAACCAGTGTTCTTCCGAATATTATTAGATTATTAAACGTACATTCATACCAAAACATCCTTTTTTATC